ACCTAACCAAAAACAAATAGTGGTACGTAATTACCTTTGTAGTTACGTCCTAGGCGTAAGACGTTCGTCTCTCTCAATATATATATATTATATATATATATATATATATATATATTTATATATATATATATATTTTAAATTTTTTTAAATTTTTTTTTTTGGACCCTAGGGATTTTATTTTTATACAATAATTACTATAGACCAAAATAAGAGTGTCAATGAGCTTTACTCAGAGCATGAAATATCCAATTTAAGCTTGACTTGATTAAGTAAAGGTAAGCTTGAGCTTCATTTGTTTACTTAATCAGGTCTATAAATGCGCTGAGTCGAGCAATAAACAATCCAAACGCACTCCTATATACTTGGCAATGTGTAGTATAATATCCTGCTACATAATTTCTTATGTTGGTTTGACAATTTTACTAATATTTTTGCAATGTCAAATACAACTATCGAACTTTAAAGGGGAATCATAAAAAATATTATTTTTTAGATTATTAGCAATAAAGCCCAAATTTTTTAAAACTGTCACGGTGTTTAAACTATTGTGATGGTTAAGAGAGGCATCACAGTGTTTTCAATACCATGATGGTGTATAATCTCTAATAACCCAATAATCATCATGTGTTTGAAATCTATAATCTCTAGTAACCCTATAATCATCATGGTGATTGAAATTCTATCACGATTCTGTGTCAACCGTGATGCCTTCACAGATCTAAGATTATCGTGAAGGTTATTTTCATCGAAAAATACAAATAATATAGAAAATGAGTATGGATGAAGTTTTTGAAAATTTAGGGTCGAAAAGTATATTTTTTTATAATAAAAAAATTTATATAGAGCCGAGGCTCTAAACAATCAACTTAGAGCCCACCTAAAAATTTTCACTAAAAGAAGCTGTTTTGATGCTCAAACAATCAAAATTGATCATTGAGACATCAAGATGCATGGACATTAGAAAAAATGGATTTCAAGTTTTGGAAATAGTGTACCTTGTAATGCATTTTCGGACCATGTTTTCAAGTTTTCACATACCTTTAAATTTTTGTAATTAAAAATAATTTTTTTAATGATAATTTCCCAACTTTAAAGTAGGTGAGCATGTATATCTATGTGCTGGTATGCATGAGATATAGGCCTTCCTGTTTCCACAAAATTCAGATTTGGAGGTTTTTCTATGCAGGATGTCGAAAACTGGAGTTTTGGATCTGGTCTCTGGTGTTGGAGGAAAGAGAGAGAAAACAGAAGTTATTTCTACAGTGCAACGGTAAGTCTATTACCCATGTTTCAATTTTTAAGAGACGCATAAAAAACAATTTTCTCCATTTTATTGTGCATGAGTCACTTTTAATCTTTATGCTATACAGTAAGCTCAGTTTTATGCATTTTGGGAGACTAAAAAAAGAAATCGCAATTGTGACTCTCTGTCTCTGAAAAAAAAACATCACAATTGTGACTCTTTCTCTGTCTAAAAAATAAGAAATCACAATTGTGACTCTTTCTCTCTCTAAAAAATAAATCAGAATTGTGACTCTCTCTAAAAAATAAATCAATTGTCTCTCTCTCTTTTTTTTTAACAAAATTGTGACTCTCTCTCTCTCTAAAAGAGAAATCACAATTGTGAGTCACAGAGTCTACAAGACACGAAATTGGGAAATGTAATTGCCAAATCAAGTGCCAAAAATATAAAGTAAAACGAAAAGCTAACCACAAACGATAAAGGATGAAGTTTCTATAAGTATATCAGTGGTTTACGTTAAAGGACATATGTGGTTAACTGTAAAGGAGAACTGTGGTTAGGATATCTGTGCATCTGTGGTTAACTTTAAAGGATATATGTGGTTAACTTTAGTAACTTTAATGACACTTAACAAGTTAAAAAAAAAAAAGAAAAAAGAAAAAAGAAAATTTAATAACTTTAATGGAGAACTGTGGTTAACTAACTGTTAAAGGATATCTGTGTATCTGTTGGTTAAAATCATGGATCCAAAATAGAGATGCTTGAAAGACTTATAATTTCTTAAAGGGAAAACTTTATATATGGTTGCAACCTCAAAAAACCATCTGAAGTATTATTTTAATGTTGAAAAAACACTCTAATTGATCATCTCGACATCGAGATGTATGAATATGAAAATAAAAAGTTTTTGAGTCCTGTAAAGAGTGTATCTTGTAACACATATATTTATAGATCTACTTAATTTTAACTATTTTTGGAATTTAAAATTTTTTAATTAAGTATGAAAATAGATTTTAAGATAATGGCAAGAATTTTTTATAATAAAATTACATGTTATGATCAAATTTTAGGGTGTAGTTAATTGGATGGTTTAAGGTTGCAACCTTGTAGAAACCGCAACCTAACTTTAAAGGATATTTGTTGGTTAACTTTAAGGGGTGTTTGATAGGGGGAAGTTTGTGGATGTGGCAGTTAAATATCCCACTTCCATGCTTGATATTATTGTATGGAAGTTGTAAAGTGGAAGGGCGACCTTCCACATGCAGCTGCTTTTTTTTAGTGTTAAAAGTTAAAATGAATGGGAGAGTCCCTTCTACTCCCAAATACTCAGTGTGTCAAACACACCCTGAAGTAAAATGGTTTGATAGGGTTCCAGCCCTATCAAAAATAAAACATCACCTTAAAGGAAAAGTTGACTAGGCAAGTCAAAATCTATTATGCATGAGATGTTTTGTAAAAAAAAAAAAACTCGCCCCAAAAAAAAAAGCGGGAAAAAAAATAGAAAAAGTTTGTACAAGGTTGCAACTTTTAATGTAAAATTAAGGTTGCACTTCAAAAATCCATCGAAAAATGTTGTTTTAATGTTGAAAACCCCTTCAAGTGATCATCTCGACATTGAGATGTATCAATATAAAAAACAAAAAGATTTCGAGTGCCAAAAACAGTGCACTTGCAACATATTATATAATTTTCTATACTTCCCTTACAACATAGAAGATCTATGCTTCTCTTACCATCCAGCCGTCCAATTTTGATCAAGAGAGCCATTCACCATATGATCTTAGATATGATGTCTCAAAGTATTTTATTTTTAGTTTTTTTTTATACAAAGTGTATGAATATAAAATTTGATACGTGTCATCTTCTCATTGGGTCGTGCCTATAAAAAATACTAAAAATACTTTTTAGTTAAAATATAATGACCAAAATACCCCTTGAAACTTTTAGGGGTATTTTGGTTATTTTATTTTATTGAAAATATTATTTTTATATTTTTTCACTAATGCGAGTTTAATAGAGGATTGGACGTCCAAAATTTGGTGCCAAAATAGTTTATAAAAAAAAAATTTAAAATAAAATAATGTAGAGACGTGACATTGTGATTGAGACAATCTTAACCTTCCATTCAAAATGGACGGTTGGATAAGGGGAAGTATATAAGTTTTATTCTGTAGGGGAAGTATAGAAAGCTTGCCCATTATCTAAACGGTCCATTTTTATTATTTTCATATGTTTATAGATCTACTTGATTTGGACTACGTTTGGAGTTTAAAATTTTATAATTAGAATTGGAAATAGATTTTCAGGCAATCCTAAGAATTTTTAATACCAAAATTACATTTTATGATAAAATTTGGAGATGTGTCTTAATTGGATTGTTTATGGTTGCAATCTTATGCAAACCATACCAAAAAAAACTCATAAAAAAAGAACACGCAAATATATGTTATTTTCCCAATTGAACAATAGAAAAGTATATAAAGAGAATATTTACTTTGGATAAAAAGAGGTCACAATCACTCTTATCCTTCAGATTTTAAATGGGGTGATTGTAAGAGTGTCATTGACTAGAGTCGAAGTTCAAAAGAGAATTTCCCAATGATCGTGATACACCCAAGCTATTCAAGTTGACACCTAATGTCTAGGAGTAATTGTGACTTCCTTATAGTAAGAATAAATAATATTATAATATTCAATTCCTTGAATGATGCAAACAAAAATCTCCCTATTTCCCACTAATAGATTAATTATGGGAAAATATATTTCAATAGATCTAAAGATTCAAAACGTATCTTGAGTCATAAAAATGTCATAAAAATCTTAAGTTTTATATCTTTTAACCCCTTAAGCTAACTTTATCCCCTTTTAACCTATTTTTTTGCCTCAAACAAGTATAAGAAAGACGTATCCTTTTCAAACACCATCATTTCTCTCTCTTCATATGATTTTCTCCTAAATCTCTCTCTACCTATTTTTTCACTCTCTCTCCCGTTAGAGAGACAAAGTGGGTGAATGTTGGAGACAGAGAAATTTGAGGGGAATATATCACGTAAAGAGATGAAGGGTTTAAAATGAACATGTCTTTTTAGATTTGTTAGGGCTAAAAAAATGATTAAAAGTGGGAAAAGTTAGGCAGAAGGTTGAGAGATATATTTTGAATTTTTGGATCTATTGAGATATGAAAACTTAAAATAAAGGATACGAAGATATTTTCCTTAAAATTTTTGTAAAAAGAACCTTTCAAAGAATATCTCACTCTAGAAAAGGGCCCACTTTAACACCCCAAAGGAAAATCACCTCTATGAAAGACCCACCAACATATCTTAACTGGAGGCTTTTCTCTCTCCGTAGGAGCCCCATCTCTCACTAGAGATCCATTTTATCATGATCCGAAAGAGTGAACCATTAATCTTTAGGATAGTGCAAGTATTGGTGATTATGCTTATAACCAAACCTAACAAGAAACAAAATCGAGTAATAATGCAAACATTTCATGTATGAATGGAATGATTTTTTTTTTTTTATAAATTTTTTCCCATTTTCTATTATGTAGGAGATCCAAGATCTTAAAAAAATATTGTATTATACGTGGTTTGAAAGATATACTAAAAAATGTTATCAACTTATCATAGTATGGGTATTCGACTCCTATTCTAAATATTCTGCTACAATATTTATATGAGAAAATTATGGATACCCACTTTTAATTTACTTTGTAGACATTCAATCTCCCAATACTCTTCGTATCACACTCCTAGCCTAAATAATGTTTTTCTTGTTTTTACCCCCAGTCAAAAATCTAATATGTTAAAGATTAAATTACCCTTTCAATCTTCCCTTACCCGTTAAAACTCTTTTTCTCTCTCCCCTTGATATATTTTTCTCTATCTGCCCAAAATAGAGAAGTCTCGTCTGGCTCAAAAGTGTGCTGGACTGGTAGTGAGGCCTCTTGAATTTGAAGCCAGATTCCGGCCCTACACACTTTTGCGCCGGACGACTATATCCTCTTTAGGTCCATCACAAACGTGTGCCGGATTAGTTTCCGGTTTTGTATTCCAAAAGTCTCATTACATGTTCGACACACTTTTGTACTGGACTGCATTTTTTCATTATCTTTGCTACGGTCCAGCAAGAAATGTGTTGGACTGGCTTGTTGCTTCCGATGACTGTGTCCAACTCACATTTCTGCCTGACCGAATTTTTTGCCATGTTCTTCCGATCCGGCACTTGTTTTATTGTGCCTATGTTGGACTTGCATTTTTGGGCAAATTCTGCCAGTCTGGCATATTTTGTGTCGGACCGATTCCCATTTTTGCTTCAAGCGGCATGCCACGTGATTTGTTGGAAATGTGAGGAGACGTGTTTCGTCATAAAAATTGTAGCTTTTTGACTTGGGGGTAAAAGCAAGAAAAAACAGTATTTCGGTTAAAGATGTGATATACAAAGGGGATATCTATTATCTATTGAACCTGTTAACCAATCTAGAAAAACAAAAGTTGAATAACCACCTTAAAAATACTTGATAAAAATCACACCCAAGTATGAGTATGGACTTTAATTTCTTGGACAGTTAGATCAAGGTTTCAAGAACTCAAAATTCATTTTTTAGTTCTTTTTTATATCATTCATCGGTTGATTCCAAAGTGATACCCAAAATTCCAAAACAAGCATAAGTTCTTGGTGTTTTGCTTAGTGAGCAAGTGTAAAATTTGCTCCCAAAGAAGCATAGCTTGGATAATTCCCTAAATCATTCTAGAATGAGCTGTTTAACTATTATTTAGCTTCAAGAAAAACCTCCAGTCCAACTCCCCCGGGAAAACCCTCTATTTTGCTCCACGCACTTTTAATTTTAATCTAAAACTACCCTTTGCAACAAAATAATTACATCAAATCCATGAGGCTCAATAATCTATGTTTTGGAGCAAAGCATAATAGGAACCTCCAAGTGACAGACCCAAGGAAGGCTATCACACTCTCTGGAGGTGTGCTAAACTATCCATGAAAGTGCAAAAAAAAAATCATGAAAAGGATGGAGTATGTCCAACCAATCAAACTTGGACAATATTATTAAAAGATTCAAACCATCTATCAAAATCTTAATAGGTTCGAAGCGGGGCTTTACTTTTTTATTTTCATTTCAAGAAGGTACCTCCTTAAAAAAGTTAAAAAATTAGGAATTAATATTGTTTGAGCTCGACAAACCGCAAACAACCGAAAGTATTTTGGTAATTTGGCAGGACTTAAAAGTCCAAGCCAAATTACAATAATACCTTTAGTTGTTCTAGGTTAGTAAACATGGACTTGCCAAATGATGGAATACCTGTTTATGTTTAGCAATATATAAAATTCACTTTTATGCAGTTTTTTTTTTTTGAAAAGTTTTATGCAATTGAAATCTTTGTTCCATTTTTCAACCTGAACAACTAGAGATATTATTGTAATTTGGCTCAATCCACTTAACTGGAGAAATGCTCGTGATTCTTTAGGGTTCTCAATCTCGAATAGAGATAAAATGAAATTTTGGTACAAATTTTTTGAGGAGGAATCTTTATGAAATGAAATTTTAAAATGAATGTTGCTGTGGTAAATAGGATCTTTTAAGTCGTTCAATGATTTTATAAGATAATTTGAGCCATTTCATAATATTTTCCTATAAAACTATCACATATATTTGAAAGATTTATTCATGGGGAGAAATATTTGATCCAAAAGCTCACCATTTGATATTGAACCATTGGAAAGATTATGCTGCATTACATAAACACCTTTCTTTTTTCCATTCAAGTGATCATGCTTTTAGAAAGGGACTTGTTGAGTGAGATTTGCAATTGAACATGGAGCAGTCATAACAAATAGTATGGTTGAGAAACAAGTCTCCTTATTGTAAGTTGTAGAATCCAAGGAGATATTGAATTAGTTTAGGCATCTAAAGAGTTGTTGTACACTAATCACGAACTTTGGCCTCTTACAATAAGAAAAAATAATTTTGGACAAATATAGACCTTAGTGAACAAACACTTAGTTAGGATTGAAGAAAATAGAATCTCTATCATTGTTAACAACTCTATAAATTTTAAACGTAGGAAGTGTGTTGACGATTCCAGTTTTAATACTATCAACAATATCCAGGACCACCTAAGGGAACTTGGGATCCATGATAATTTATTTATCCCATGATTCATCATCAGTGTTCTAAATGTATACCACCTGGCACTCAGGCAGCGCTTAGCGGCCCAGCGAGCCTGACCGCCTTGTCTAGGCAGCCGACTAGGTGCCACGGAATCCGCCTAGGCGGGCGCTCAGCTCCCCACCTTGGGCGGGCGTCCGGCTCCCACCCCTGAGCGGCCACCTAGGGCCTACCCATGAGCGGAAATGACCCTTGTTCAGGGGTATGTTTGGGTTTTTTTATTAAAACAAAATTTGAGATCTTTTTTTACTAAAAAATTAAAAGGGAAAATAGTGGCCGAAACCGAAAAGCTTATAATACTTTGCCATGCTGCCTGAATCTGGATTTGCTTGGCGCCCACCTAGGTGCTGGACTGTTCATCATGTCTCTAACCTGCATAATTCATGATTGAGTCTTTTCTCTAGTTGAGCAAGATGTAATCAAGCTCTGTGCTGTTGCTTTAGATGTTGTAGACTTGATTGGGACGCAATTGGATGGAGGTTGACCTGTAACCTCCTTGATCGCTTCCCTACACAATGTGTTAAGGGTCTGAAATACTTGTATATTTGGGGCACACTGATTTTTCCTTTTTCCATTACATGTCAAGGAGATTTCTTTAGGTAAAGTGTTAAATTGTTAATCTTCCGTCGGTAATTTAAATAAATTTCTCATAAATTAATTGAGTGCTCATGGAAATTAAGCGGATGAATTCGCAAAATAACACTTTTAATAGAGGTGTTCCCATCATTTCTTTTTAATCATTATTTTTATCCCATTTTCAAGGGACTATGTTTTTTGTCTATTTGCATTTGATCTCATGGAAAGCTTTCAAAAGATAATTGTGAATACACATATTTTAGTCTTGTCATTAGTATTAAACCGCAACCATTGTACAACTTAGGCTCAACTTCAGATTGACTTTATAATGTGACTAATTTGGTGAGAGTACTTTATATTTTGCATACTTCATGTTTATATCAGCGATTCCCTCATGTATAAATGAAAGTGTATATTGCACATGTTTTTCTCTAGAATGATGCTTTACTCTGTCATTGTTCATTCTAAACTTCTCAGCCTCACCTCTTGTAGGTACCATGGGTATCATGAAGGAGATGAGGAATCAAGGAAACTTAGGAATGCCAATTATGCTGACATGGTGAGAAGTTGATATCTATCTTTTCATGCTTTGTATTCTCTTTCGAATGTTCGTTTCTTTAGGGCATACTTGTTTTGTGGAAGCCACGCCTGTCTACAACTGTTTGTAGGAAGTACGACGTTATTTTGGTAGCCATTGCTTCTAGGGGCTTCTAAGACAACATTAATTTGACATGTTTCGAGGAGAACACTAATTTGACATGTTTTGTGGAGGCCACTACTTCTATTCTAACCGAATGAAGCGGCAACTTCAAAGTGTTTGGAAGATTTCTATTCTAACTCAATGAAGCAGCCGCATCTAAGTGTTTGGTATATGGGTCTATGGCAGCCACTTCTTCCCAAGACAAACTTGCTCTTGACCCTTCATGTTATGTTTTAGTGTTCATCTAATTGATCTTCTATCCGGACATTTGAGAATTTGGCTTTAGATAAAAGAAACTTCCAATGAAGTAATAATCAATTGGTTGAATGTTTATTACAATTTTTAAAAGGGCATGTATATTATGGTTTTGCTAGAGCATTCAATCCATCTACTCCAACGGGCAGAAAACCTATTGGGAGGTTTTTTTTTAATCTAAATTTTGGGAACTACATATGAATCGCTACATGATTATTTTCAAAAGGAAAATTTGAATTTCAAAATTTCTAATACTTTCAAAAAGTTGGACTACCATGGTTCAATCTTGAGACATTATGTTTTCTTCAAGTGCATAGAGAGTGCAAATTTGGAAATTTTCTATTTTGTGGTTAATCTGTGGGTTGACCTTCATATTACATCATTAAAATTTGGGATCCTAAAATACTTCTAGATTGGGTTTCACCAAAAGGAGTAAATGGATAGTATACTCCTATGGGAGCATGAAATTTTGTGGCATTTCTAAAAGCACTTTTGCCCAAGCAAGCATTGAATATAAAGAGCTTCTAGTTAGCAATCAGATCTTATACAATGTTCCCTTATATCTCATTTTCATGATTGTCATAGAAATTTTCTACCCTTGGTTGTCTTTTGTCTAGCCATCTCCTAGTTTCGATCATAGTTATCGGAATCTCGCTTCTGACCTCGCGTTTCTGGTTCCAAAGCCCGATTACGCATTTCTGTTAAGGAATCTTCATGGAAACCGTTTCGTTTTTCGGAACTAAAGAAACTTGATTTCGACACATCTTTAGAAACCATTTTTCGGAACCAAAGAAACTTGATTCTTTAATTTCAGAATCTCAATTCAACACATATTAAGAAGCCATTTATCGGAACCAAGGAAACTCCATTGCTTAATTTCGCAATCTCAATCGAACACATATTTAGAAACTTGAACCCATTAATTGTAGGTAGACGTTTCCAAATATATCGAATATGATTCCAGCGAAGATTAAATCTTGATTCTACATCTATTGGTGCAGAAATCTTCCTTTGAATGCTTCTAGTGGTTGCAAGGTTTCATTATTTTACTTTTGCCACCCTGGATGGCTTTTACTTTAAATTTACAATATAACTGTTTAGTACAACACATACAATTGAAAGTAAAACCATGGCATAGCCATAATCCTATTTTGTCTTTATAATAATGAAATCAAAATCGCAATTCAAAAATACTTGTCTTTTGTATATAATGTCTATAAGTTCAATAGTCAACACAATCACTTTAAAATTTGGAAAACCTTCTAATAAGAAACATCCAATATGGGTTCTAAAGTTGATGGCTCAAGATGTGCTTGTGGTTTCTTTCTCTATAAATAGAATCTCGATTCCTGGTAGGGGTCGTCAAACGCATTCTATAGTCCATATTATAGTAAATCTCAATCTCAAGCTGGCATGGATCTCTTATCCATATATTTCAGAAACTTGATTCCTAATATATTAGAATCACAAATCGAAACAACAACATATCTTTTTTCCACATATGTCAGAAACGCGATTCCATAGATATCGGAAACTTGATTCCACATATTAATGAATCTTGACTCTTGGAGTGTCGATTCCAGGGGGATGAGAATCTCGATTCCAAAGAAGACATGAAACTTGCATTTATTTTGGTCGAAAAACGCTCCTCAAAACCTAGGAATTTCATTCCTAATGATTCCTATTGTACGGACAACGATTCCTAAGACAAGAATCTTCTAGCCAGTCGCGATTGCAATTCCTAAAACGATTCGGGTTCCTAGACATTTCCAACAACTACGGTTTAGATTGTCTATGGGCTCAATTGGGATATTGATAACTCCTTGGAAGGATCATCTAGGCATAGTTATCATGGCTAGATTGGGCTGGCTGGTCCAACCAAGTAGACTGTGGGCCGGTACCTTGCCTAGTCTAGTGCAAAGTAAAATGGGGTTTAGCCAAAATCCCGTCAAATGGAATGTTTGACTAATCTTCTCTGGTCTGACTTGCAGGTTTTGTCCAATTAGATCGGTTAAAAAATGATAAGCAATTATTTAAAATATTCATATTTTAAACTATTTTTGCAATTGTTCTATATAATTTTTAAATGCGATCCAACTAGTTTGGTCACTGTTTAGACCGATTTTGACTATACTAGACGTTGATCCTGATAACATTGATTTGTGCATTTTTCTTCGTCTTAAGTTTATTTTATTTTCTATTTGATCACTTGATCTGAAGAACTTTTAGGATCTTCCTGGTATATTTTCATCTCAGTTCTTCTATTTTCTATTTGATTAGTTCATCTGAAGAACTTCAAGATATTATCTATTTGTTTATATCATATATGTCAATATCAGTATCTTTTAGATTCAACTCGAATGCGTGTGTTTATTTTGTCCATATAGTAAATGTAACTCTCAGTGTATTCTAACTCTAGTTGTTCACTTGATCTGATGAACTGTTGCGACGATTTAGCTGCCAAATTTGCTCCTCAACCTTCTTTTTTCATCTCCACTTACCTTCCATGTTAATGGTGCCCACAATTACTGAACCGCCAAAACCAATGTCTTCATTGCAATTAATAAGATGTGAATTACCTATCATTTTTAAGGTTCCACAAAATTTTATCAGGCATATGCCAGATACTTGAAAGAATGGCATTTGCTTTTGATTTTATCTGGACAAGAAACTCTCCCAAGTGGCTATTGAGAGATTTAATCCATTATTACTTTACTAGAAAGGAAACATTAAAGTAACATAAGGATATTTAACTCGCATTTCAAGAACCAAAACTTTTTCGTGCTCAAGACCCAATAATCTCAAAACAGTGTTCTGGTACAAGCCGGAGTCCACTCAAACTCGGGTGAGTTACTCAGACTTCTGAGTAGCCCCAAGTTTTGTGTACAACTGGGGCATATAAAAGAATTTAAAAAAATAAAAAAATGTATAAAATTTTTATTTATTTATTATGATTTTGATGTTTTTGACAAAGGTAGGTTAGTATTTTGTGCCATAATCCCTAATTTATGTTTTCTATATTTTTTAATTTTTTTAAAAGTGTCTGTGTGTAGGACGCGAACAACTCCACTTGGACTCGCGTGAGTAACTCGGCTCACTTGGCCTCTAGCTGAGCTGAGTTCAGAACCTTGGTCTCTTAGGCCTTGACCCATTAGCTGAAAAGAAATTCATTCTTTACATGGTTGTTCTGTAAGGTTATTGGAAGTATGAGTAGCCCCAAATTTCGATTGGATTCACATCTTTGTTCATTCTATTTTCAGGTAAACAAGTATTATGATCTTGTGACTAGCTTTTATGAGTATGGCTGGGGTGAGTCTTTCCATTTTGCTCCAAGGTATGTGACTTGGTCGATTATCTCATTTGAAACAATTTGATTCTCTTTCTCTCTCTCTCTCTCTCTCTCTCTCTCTCTCATATTATATTCTCTTCTAACAAATGATTGCATGCTAAATATGTTTTTGGAAGATTACCAAAACTCTTTAAACAAACCATGGTCTTAGCAGTTGCTTTATTGTAGATGATGAAATTGAACACCTCTATAATTTTCAGATTGAAAGGAGAATCATTTCGGGAAAGCATCAAACGATATGAGCACTTCATTGCTCTGCAACTTGGTTTAAAACCAGGAATGAAGGTATTGGATGTGGGGTGTGGAGTTGGTGGGCCGCTACGCGAAATTGCTAGATTTAGGTAACATATAATTTACTAGGAAATGCATGTCCTTACTTTTCTATACCTAATGTATTATAAGAAATCTGTATTATAATCCATATGATCGTGGTGATCAGAGGGTCCTGATGGTAATTGCCAACTCACCTTCCGATCAATAAATGGGATGGTGATGGAGGGAAGGTGGATATACAATTTGCGCTCTCTCCACCATCCATTCATCCAGCCATGATGGGATGGTCTTTGATCCTTCTCTGTTCTCACTATGCTTTGCCATGAAAGTATAGATCTTATGGTACTTTCATTTGTACTGTAATCGAGCAAGTTTAGAATATGATGAGCTTTATGAATTGCCTATTATTGACTGCATGCATGCACACCTATGTCAAGAAGATACCAGTACATATGTTAGTGTCTGACATGGATATGAGTGTTAGTATGCCAATTTCAAAATTGATATTTTAAACATGACACATCCATATGTCATTTAGGTGGAAGGTGTGATTTTAGGTGACCTTGAAGTACTTTGTGGTGAGATTTCAAACAAAAAAAGGTCAACAAGAAAGGTCTTAAGTTTCCACAATGTGAGGGGTACATCCATGTTACGTACATGCTCACATATCTATAATGTTGAGCATGGCCGCTTCTAACATGGATACAACTGTCAAAAGTGCTAATCCCAAATCTTTTGGACAAGGTGGGGTCTTAGGTGATCTTAAAGTACTTTTGTATGGGATTTCAACAAGAAAGGTTATAAAGAAGGGTAGGGCATAAGTTTATGTAATGTCAGACACAGGTGCTCTGTCCATATTGTGAAGTTACACACCAAATACCACATATATGCACACATATATGTAATGTTGCACTTGCTTATGCAAGAATCTGCAGATAAGTAGAGTAACAATAATCTAGAGACTATCATTTTGAGAGTTGGAATGCCCACTATATTGGAAATCCTAATCCAACAACAAACATGAAATCTTTTGATGTGATTCTTTTTTGGGATCAACTAGGTCTACGATCCTAGATCCTTGAGCGTATTTGCATCCATAGAGAAGCCAATTCTTGCCAAACTCTTCCCTTTTGACTAGTTTTTTTTCTTTCTGAATATATTAGTTCTCTTTGTTGACATATATCTATGCTATCAAATGGATCATTTGGTTTTCTTTTTCTTAGGGAATCCAATGATGAAAAGCTTTAATATGCACATTTGCAACATGAGCATGTCATTTTGTATTGCATTTGAATAGCTTTGAATTGAGGAGTCGTAGTTTTTACATTTTAATCTTCTATTGCAGCTTAACTTCCATTACTGGAGTGAACAACAATGAATATCAAATTTCCAGAGGAATTGTAAGTAATTGATTTTTTTCGCATATATATGATGGTACTCAGTCTGTAGAGCATTATTCGTTGACCTTTTGAGTGAGACCTGGGCATTATTTTGTGACCCTACGATACTTAGTTTGTAGGGCATTTTACCCTTTTTTGGACTTCTCTTTTTACACGACATTTTAGACTGCTCTGATATCAAAAAGAGGTAGAGGGTAGAGAGGGCTTCAGGAGGTTGGAAAAGGGTCAGAAAGAGGTTGAAGGGTAGCGAGGGGCTCAGAAAGGCTGGAAAAACGTAGGTTTAAGGAGTAGAGAATGGGAGTTAAAGAGAGAGTAGAAAAGAGACAGAAATAGCTAGAGGGTATAGAGGGGTTCAGAAAGCCTGGAAATGGGTCAGAAAGAGATTAAGGGGTAGAGAGGGGTTCAGAAAGGTTGGAAAAAGGCAGGATTAGGAAGTAGAGAATGGGAATTAAAAAAGAATAGAAAAGAGAAGAAGGAGAAATGGAGGGAGCAAATGATTAAAGAGTAATTAATCCTTAAGTTATAATTAATCCGAGAAGAACTTGAGAAAGAGAGTCAAAACTGTTTTACGGCTTCTTGGATGAAATTTGAGGGAGAGAGAACTAATAAGATGGAAAAGAGAATGGTTTTTTTTTTACACAGGGGTGTTACCTGGAACAATAAGGAGGTAGAAATACGCTAGATGGGAGGATAGACGAAGGGGGTTGAGTATTGTGCTCAACAATCAACAGTTCGCCGAGATATCTTTTTAAGAGCTGCGAGGTGCTGGCCCTGTCGGTCAGATCAGCTACTGGAACATTCAACAACACCTGACGGTGTCCCTAACTGATATTACGCTCATAGTAAAAAAGAGCCTCGATATCTCGAGTTTCATCGGGGAACGAGGTTGGACAAGTTCACCAAAGTATTATTAGAGCACAAATATTCTACCGGGCTTGGTTACCCAATTTGTTTTGCACAAGCAAACACAACTTCACTTTTTCTTTATTTTGTGCAAAGATGTTACATATTTATAGCTAAAAGTAGCTTAGATTACTACATAAGGTTTACAAAACAATGGGCTGAAACCATGGGCAAAACTAATACCACCATAAAAAGCAAAATCATAAAGTACATTAGTACATCCACTCGTCACTCATTCTTTCTTCCACTAAAAAAGCAAATAGTACATCCATTATTTAAAAAGTAAAACCATTTATAAAAAGTAAAACTACTCTTCTTAAAGTAAAACAGCTCACAAAAACCGTGGGCTATGGTTATAGTGTGACCAATTTCTTCTATGACAATATTTGCATCCTGAAATGCTTCTTCGAGTTGTTCCGCTGTCCTTCTCGAATTTCTGGTTTTGGAAACAGTGCTCCGTGCTATTTCGGGGCTTTCTATGTGCATTGTGCTGCAAGTCAATGCAGTCCTTTGGCATTTAGATTTAGCCCTTGTTTCTTGTGTAAAACTTGTAATGTTTGAAATTTTCTCTTTTGTGGATTTTTCTAAATTTGGGGATGCTATACTCTTTGGCTCCTTCTACAGTGTTACAAACTTTAGATCTTACTTTTATATGTCCTAGTGTTATCTTTATAACATATCTTTTTTATTTCACCTCTGGCATATCTCACAACATCAGCTATTATCAGGTTTTTGTACTGCTATATTTTTGATGCAAGGAAATTTGAGGGAACAATAAAATTAGCAAGAAACAAGCCAAACACAAGCTTTTTTAGAGAAACCCTAAAGCTTTCTCCCACATATGGTTCAAGCCTTACGCTTTTTTTACATAACAGTCTGTTTTTTTCTTATAGAGGAATACGTGAATACCTCTCCAGTCCATCCACACATTTATTTATAATAGAGAATTATTGTTTTAGATGATATTTGTCCATACAATTAACTTTTGACCAAAAGGTCCTAACTTAAGCATAACTTGAAACTAAATTCCCTAACTTAAACTTAATTTTTGTAATAATAAATTTACCCCTGTAAATAGTACTCATGAATAGGACTCATGAATGATACTTATGAGTAGTTCCCATGAAATAAACAAAAAAATATAAAAACTCTAGAATCCTAAAAAAACTCAAAACTCTAGAAATAAGCTCTAAAAGCAAACTATAACATACATCTTTTAAAGTTGAATAAAAATGAAGAACAAGAGCAATTTTTTCCTCCATCATTCTCCCTTGGTTGGAGAAAATTTGTCCTTGAGTTTTGTACTGTGCCAAGACGAATTCAGCAACAAAAATACCTTCTTCAACCTTCTTTTGCTTTGTTGGCTAATTCCTCGAGAAATGGATCTTGATATTGTATATTGAGGAATTATGGCCACAATTTGCAGTTTTTGAATCAACCATGCTTCCACTGCACAATTTTGATTCTAATACTTTGAATTTCTTGAATGCTCTATATCTTCAATATTAATGACATCTTCAAAGGCCATGATTTGAATCAGTCCTCCTGTTGCCTTCTTTCTATATTCTTCACCTCCTTCCAAGTATCTTCACCTTCAATCTTGATCCTTATCATAAATCGAATCTCCTGAGAAATCTTGCTGTTCATCTGAGTATATATCGAAGATTGGTGGTGAATCCCAATCTACAATTTGCTGACTTTTAATGAAATCTATGCCAAAATAAAAAATTTCATCCATAAAATCGAAAACCCTTGAGTGGTGTTCCTCATATCTAGGTCTTTTATCGCTATCCTCATCACTCGACTCCACACGCGGAGCGAGAAAATGAAAAGGTTTGCACTCGAGATCCTCTTGGGCTAAAAGATCACTGTCTTGCCCATTATTGAGGCTCGCGAATTGCTGCACCAGTTGTTGTACTTTCCTTTCAAGTTCATCAATTCTGTCATCTATTGGATTGCGGAGGAGATCTACAAAAATCTCCCTTCTGCGGCCCCTTCTAGCTGCCATAGATTTGCGAAATCACAAACTTTAAGCAAATAGTCAACAAAAAATTGTTGAAATCAACAAGATCTAAGTTGTTTTGACAAAACTTTGACCAAAATCAGCATACTGTAGACCCCATTTTAACTTCCCCTCTTTGTTGTTGACCTAGGGCATAAAAAAAATGGTGATACAATAACTTTGTACTTGCTACAGTAACTTCCATACTTGCTATAGTAACTTCCATGTAGATCGCAGGCTCTGATACAACTTGATGCAGGAAAATTAAGCGAACAATAAAATCAGCAAGAAACAAGCCAAACACAGGCAATTTTGGAGAACCCTAAACCTTTGTCCCACCAATTTTGGAGAAACCCTAAACCTTTGTCCCACCTGTGGCTCAAGCCTTGTACTTCACTTACAAGACAAAGTCATTTTTTTCTTAAAGAAAAATACGTAAAAACCTCTCGAGTCCATCCACGACCTTATTTATAATAGAAAATTATTGTTTTGGACAATTTTGTCCATGCAATTGACTTTTGACCAAAGGTCCTAACTTAAGCATAACTTGAAGCTAAACTCCCTAACTTAAACTTAAATTTTGTAGTGGCAAATTTACCCATGTGAATAGTACCCATGAATAGTACTCATGAATACTTGTAAATAGTTCTCATAAAATAAACAAAAAAAGTATAAGAACCCTGGAATTCTTAAAAAACTAAAAGCCTTAGAAATAAGCCCTAAAAACAAACTATAATATACCTTCTTTAAAGTTAAATAAAATAAAGAATTAGAACAATGTTTCCTCTATCAAATTTTCATAGAAAGTGTTTCAAGAACAAGTTTTGGAATAATACCTGGAAGGGATGCATGATAGTATGCGTTATATGTTGCATTAGTATGTAACGCCAATCTGTAACATTCATTGCTGTAGCTTTTGAATGTTCCTCAAAATATCATTATTTTGAAGTTTTTTTTTCTTAGCAAAACTGTATATGCGGCAATACTGTATTTGGGATTCGGAGACAAATTTTGAGATTAATTTGGATCCCAATTCAGTAAATCCTGCTACAACAATGACATTTTGTTCAGCATCATCAAGATGATTCCTTCCACCAGTGGCCAGCTCTTCCCTACATAAATCCTGTTGCATATCTTATGGCATCTGAATTTGGCCATCTTATGCTGGCTACATATATTTCTTTATGTATCCAAGCTATGATCTCTTGTTTTGTTTTTTAAGGAGAATGAGTTAACTCATCAATACTCAACATCGGAATATATTCTCCTATATTTCTGAGACCATATTGCTCAATAGTAGCAATAATTCTCAACATTTTCATCTGTGACACTTAGGATGATTCTTCCATTGTTCAAAATTTTGAAGTGAATGAAAGCTGGGAGGCTTGAATTTGAAGGCTTTTACAGCTTCATCCGCTTTCCTCTTTTTGTAATTTTCTTTATTCTCAAATATTTGCCAATGATTCTCATGGATTTGTATAATTTTTTCTACTTCTTATTTTCTTTCTTTTGCTTTGCTCTCTTATCAGCCAATATTTCTATTTTCTTTATTTCTTGAATTTATGATTCTATGGCTGATATATGCTTTTGAGCATATGAGCTTCTATTAATTAAGTAGTTCAACTGGCGTACCTCATCCTTTTGAACTCTTTCAGAGTTGATATTATGTTTTAGTTAGGACCTTCAGGATCTTCTAATTTCTCTAATGACTAATGGCTGGCCGGATTCTTCTTTTACTGTAGTTACCATATAGCTTTGAGCAATTTGAGGAACTTCCCTGTTAGGGGAAGATTTGTTGGGAAAAAGGAAATATTGATGATTTTGAGGAATATTCATAAAGCTACAAAAATGAATGTTATAGGTTGGGGTTACATAATAATGCAACATGCAATTGATATTATCTTGCATCTATTTCAGGTAATATTCTATAACTTGTTCTTGAAACACTTTCTACAAAAAATATAGTAGTAAAAAACTTGGTAATGGCTGATGTTGTAGGATATGCAAGAGGTAAAAGAAAAAAGTAATGTTATAAGGATGATACTAAGATATATATAAAAGCAAGATCCAAGGTATGTAACACCATAGAAGGAGC